AATTCGCCGGTACCTATCTATACACCTGGGTAGAGAGGGGCACTGTGAGAGTAAAGTGTCTTGGCCAAGAACACAATACAATGTCCACGGCCAGGGCTCGAACCAGGACCGCTCGATCCGGAGACGAGCGCACTGAACATGAGGCCACCGCACCTGCCACACTTTTTAAGTGTAAACCTGTAAATTTCTCTCCACTGAGCTTCCAAAGGAGCAAAACAAATAGAATACTCAAACGTTGACGGTGTGAAGGTGCCCAGGGATACCAATAAGACCTGAAAATGACACTCGGCCTTGAATTTTGAGAAAATACCGTCCTACACACAAACTTAGCATAATGTTACGATCCAGTTTCTACTTTTTCCTTTCAAGAAGTATGAAATAAACTACTTACCAGTTCGGTTGAACGTTGTGCTGTCTTCCAAACAGTTCTAGAAATACTCAAAAGTAAATAGTAAAACATTGTCTACTTTACTACTTAACAGTGCTATTTCTGACACGTGTTCCAATTTCCTCGACCAATCGGTGCTCCAAAATTGGCACGTGATCTACTAGTAAGGTCTTGATTGGCCAAGAAACAGAGAAGCCAACGATAGATAGTAGGTCTTTGTATTTTCTGAACTGAAGCCATGAACCGTTCATACACACATGCAAGCAAGAACTGCTCTCACTTATTTTCCTTGTGCCTGGTGCAAGCCTTTCAATCACTCCATAGATTTCATCTGGTTTGTGACTTGTCTGTCTCTCCTAGGAGGAAAGATTACTCAGTAGTAAGTAGTAAGCTGCACTAAAGATGTTTGTAGGAATTTTTTTTCAGATTCCAAGGATTTTGCCTCTTTTACTAGAAAATAACGAGAACTCCGTGTGGACCTGATTTTGCTTCTTGGGATTAACAACTCAAGGAAGTGCATACGTTTCGCGTTTTCCGTCAGTTGTATTACAAATTCTGTCGTGGGTGTGGAATTCATATGCGGAAAGCGATATCATAGAGAGAATAAGAGGAAGAGAAAAGTGAACTTAGTGCTCGTTTCCAACCTTTTTCCTCTTGTTCGTTTATGGTTACTTAAGGACGGTGCCTACTAAATACAGANATAAGAGGAAGAGAAAAGTGAACTTAGTGCTCGTTTCCAACCTTTTTCCTCTTGTTCGTTTATGGTTACTTAAGGACGGTGCCTACTAAATACAGAGGTTTTTACGCCAGATTAGGACCACGCGGAAAAAGTAAATCTTTGCAAGGGCTATTAGAATCCACAAAGAAAAATCGGGGTAGCCGAGCATTTTTTCGAGATAATTAGCCTTGAATCAAAGCAAAAATGCTGACATCAGCATTTTTCTGAAAAAAGGAATGAAAGGATATTTCTTTACAAATTTACTTAGAATTCGCCTTTACATACAGAAAAGCAAACACATTTAAAAAGATCTCAAAAAACTACTTGGTAAAAGGTAGCATAAAAACCATGTTTTATATGTTTTTAATAACAAACTCGTCGCAACAGCGCTTTAGCTTCCTCTGATTCAGCTAAAATAAGTCTAGATAAGTTTTTCTAATAACCAGAAGCTAATCACGTGTTTAACAGGCTTGCCACTTCCATTTCATAACATAAAATGTAGGGGTAACCACGCGTTTTTGTAAGTTGTTCATCTTTTTTGAAAACTTTTACTGTGCCCGTCACATTTTTCCTGTCACCTCCACAATAAGTTCAACATTTGCGCCTCTCGCACTTGTTTTACGTGCGCACTACGCCATCTGCAGGTACATGTTTACAGCTGGATTTCAGTATAATTTTCAACAGGTAACAGCTAGTTTTTTTTTTTTCAGCTGGAAGCACAGGCGGCCCAGATGTTGAATAAGATTAATACGTGACATTATGCTGTTGGCGATTGCCTTACAATTTTAGCGGTTTGTAAGACAATGTATGAGAATGCTTCGAAAATTACTCTAAATGCTACGTATAGAAAATAATATGAGTAAAATGGCTTTTTTAGTTTTAAGGTTGATGAACATTTGAACGAGCAGCAACTCTAGAATAAGTGGTACAAGACACGAACAAAAGCGTGTTAAAGNCCGGCTGTTAAGCGTGTTTCTAGTGTGCATCATGTCAAAAGCGACAAAAACAGGCAATACTCAGAGCGAGAATCCGCAAAGATTCGCCAAAGTACAAGCAAATGATCCGCAATGATCAGCTGGAAGCACAATACGTGCAATGCAATGTGAGACAACAGCCCTGCAAATCTCCAAAGGGCCGCCCCGCAAGTCACGTAACGTAAAAGGGGAAACCGCTGACTGCATTGGTTTGAGTCTAACTTTGCCTAAATCATATTTAGCCACATTTAACAACTCAGGGAAATGAATCGTAAATTCTGTGGTGGGTGTGGAATTCACATACGCGAAGCGAGATCATAGAGAGAATCAGAGGAAGAGAACAGCGAGCTTTGTACCCGTTTCCAACCTTTTTCCTCTTGTTCATTTAGAGTTACTTAACTACACTAAGATGAGAATTTATGAACACGAACAAACCTCCACGACTAGAACATCACAGTCCAGACCTCTGTTAAAATTCTTACAATCTCCTTTCACACCAACCTGAAGAACATGAAGTTTTAAGTCTGATGAACATTTGAACGAGCAGCAACACTAGAATAAGTGGTACAAGACACAAACAAAAGCCTGTTAAAGTAAGAGAGCTGAGTGACGGTCTAGATGTGGAATTTCCACAGCTGTTGAAAAGAAATGTTTGCCTTCACCAGTTGTAGGTACTCCGGCATTAAGCAAACAAACCAATACTTCCAGTGTGTTTGTTCTTTCAAGAAGATGGAAAGGAATTAGAGTTTTGAAAAATTAATGTTTGTTTTGAAACATTTTTTGCACCGTTCCAGTACGTCAAGAACTGACGTGCTTAACATGTCAGAGATTTAAGCCAGAAGCACTATCTCACCAGGTAATGTTCCTTTCCATGATTAAGCCAGTGCCCAGTCCTTCCCGTTCTTATAAGCCATTGTAATTGGTTTGTTTTAACCCAGATTAACTCATCACACCGCGCATAACTGTTAAACAAAACACATTAACAATGTCAGTATGGCAAAGAAACTGTTTGCGCCATAATTTCTGCAAGACATTTAACTGTTTAATTCTTGCATCTACGCTCCCCTTGAGGAACATTTTTCAGTAACAAATACAACTGTGAAGTACTTTTAAGCTTTCTTAGGAGCGTTTGGCCGAAACGTTTCCTGACGTAAAAAGAGGAACGAGTAAGAATCAAAAAGCTTCTAGCATAGCTTATCAATGAACAGTCGTTTCTACGTGAAGACAAGGGCAGCATGGTAAGCTGATGTTTTCTTTCCAGAGTATTTACATCAGTAATAATGTAAGCACCATTTACACTGGAAACGATAGAAGCTTTCCGTATTTTTTGCCCAGTTCTAAGTAGCCCCTCCATCTTCCATGGCTTCAAATGTTCAAATCTAAACATATATTTTTTACTTGGCAGTTACAACAGTGGCAATAAAACAAACTTTAAAACTTAATCATACTTTCTTTACTTGCAGCAAAAGAAAAGTACAATGCTGAAGAAAACAAGATAAAATTATGTATACCCAAGAAAAGTTTAGCTCTCTAGAAAAGCAATTGTCACANAGATGGAAAGGAATTAGAGTTTTGAAATGTTTGTTTTGAAACATTTTTTTCACCGTTCCAATATGTCAAGAACTGACGTGCTTAACATGTCAGTGATTTAAGCCAGAAGCACTATCTCACCAGGCAATGTTCCTTTCCGTGATTAAGCCAGTGCCCAGTCCTTCCCGTTCTTATAAGTCTTTGTAACTGGTTTGTTTTAACCCAGATTAACTCATCACACCGCGCGTAACTGTTAAACAAAACACATTAATAATGTCAGTGTTGCGAGAGAATGTTTGCGCCACAATTTCAACAAGACATTTTACTGTTTAATTCTTGTATCTACGCTCCCCTCGAGGAACATATTTCAGTAACAATGACAACTGTGAGATACTTTTAAGAGCGTTTGGTCGAAACGTTGCAGCCGGAGAAGAATGAATAAGAATCAAAAAGCTTCTAGCATAGCTTATCAATGAGCAGTCGTTTCTACGTGAAGTCAAGGCCAGCGTGGTAAGCAGATGTTTTCTTTCCCATAGTATTTACATCAGTAATAATGTAAGCACAATGTACACTGGAAACGATAGAAGCTTTCCGTCTTTTTCGGCCAGTTCCATCTAGCTCCTCCATCCTCCATGGCTTCAAATGTTCAAATCTAAACATAATCTTTTCACTTGGCGGTTACAACAGTGGCAATAAAAAAAACCTTTAAAACTTAATCATACTTTCTTTACTAGCAGCAAAAGGAAAGCACAACGCTGAAGAAAACAAGATAAAATTATGTATACCCAAAAGAAGTTTAGCTCTCTAGAAAAGCAATTGTCACATAATACATCAGAGGAATACAGCACATTCAACATTTTGACACTTTCTTGTACTTACCCCCAAAGTTTCAAACATTCTCGACCCAATTCCATGGCGCTGAAGAGAACAAGATATACAAGACTTGTAAGATGAAAGCACTTCTCATGGTTTGTTAGAATGAAACGCCTCATAGAGCGCAGTTGTTTGTTGACAGTGATGTTGCTTCTATACAAGTTTTTACAACTAAAGCTACATTCATTCTAGGCTTACTAGCACAGAATAGCAGTCGAGAATCATACTAACCGTCCAGTGACCCAAAGGAAAATGTAACCTTCATCTTGAAGAGAAGGAACATCTAGCTTACGCATCTCATCATCTGACATTGTACCATAAGGTAACTAAGATATACGAGAAAACAGACCACAGGACATTAGAAGAATTCCTTGGTGAATTTTGAAGCATTTTTTGGAACAGGAGATTTGAGCGTAAAAAAAATATATGGAGACAAACTTAACTAAAAAAAACAGCAGGGAATAAACGAAGAAATACGTTTGACGTGAAGCCATTTAACCATTTCAGTTCCAAGTTCCCACGATAAATTCTCCTTTCCGATTGCCATGCATTTGATTAACGTTAGTTTAGAGAATAGTGTAGTAAATCAAGAAATAACGAAGATGGCTTTGAGGACTTATCTGTTGTCTTAAGATACAATGAAGTAATTCGTTCTGAGGGGTGATGGTGACCTTTGGGTTTGTGTGAATGAGTGAGTAAATAGTAACACTATAGTAGAATAATGGAATACAGTGTGTACCTCCATATGAATATCCCACGGTGGATCTGCCATTACTACAGAGAACTTGCCTAACACAGTCATATCAAAATACCTCATGTCACACTGAATCCACTGAAGAAAACAAACAAACGCGTGTATCAGGGATATTATCCTACTGAAAAAGACTACTTGATGGGGCACTATCATTAGCATGACTTACAAAAGGTAAAAGCTAATAGAACTACATTTCTTAATAGTTGAAATTAATTAATTAAACAAACATTAAAGTTCACACCTTATGGCGTTATTGTGCATTGGTGCCTTAGCGAACAGCAGCCCCCTAAACCATCCTAATAGTGCACTCTGCACTAAAAATTAATATATAATTGCATTAAACCAGTTATTCCTTTGTAATAAAAGAACAATTTAAGGTATGGAATACAAAAGTCAGCTTTAGCATTTATATACTGCAATTCCTTCTATACTGTAAATTCCCTTGTCTGAGGTGTTATTAATATTGTTTGATTTCAGCAATTCTCTTAATAGAAACATGGTTTTACCAAGACATCAACAAAGTCTTAGTTTGTCACCACCTGCTCGCTTGAATTTAAGATAACATTGTGAAAAGAAGTCAGTAATTAAAGTCAGCTTAGGAAACTGAGAGGAGAATGTACACTTACTACGTCACTCATCGTTACTACCAGAAGGTAAAATTTGATTCAAAACTTGACATGTTCATCACGCTCGCATCCTGCATGTAATTTATTACTTTATTATATAAAAAAACAATTAAATACCAGGCGAACTTTTGTGCGAAAACATGATATCTTCACACTTGAAAACAGCTTGTTATCTTCACATGCGAGAAGATCACCGTTGCTATGGTTACCTAATAAATGGCACCTTTTGCAGTGAAAGTGAAATGGGTTGGGATTTCATTGGTGTTTATCTAATAAATAGAACATTACATGGCCACTTGGAGATACAGAATTTCTCTTCTCGTCTTGAAAAATATTTCACTCCAAGAGAAATTTTATATCTCCACATGGCCATGTACATGTAATATCCTCTATGTAAACAAACAACCAGCAAGTTCATCGCCCACTAAGAGAAGCCATGCAGTGCTATTGCAAAGGCTCAAATGATGCAATACTACTGGTCAGCAGATCAGCAAAACACTAAAGTAAGTTTTCTAGCAGTACATCTGACAAAAAAATAATGTCTTCCATACCTGAGGTGGGTAGAGTATGACTCGGTTTTCTTCCTCTGCAGTTTTTGTCAAAGATGTCTGCCATAACAAAATGACATAATTATGAAAGCAATTACAACTTTACAAGAGCTTTATAGCCTCAATACAATACAATGCTGGGCCACTCTAAGAGTACTGACAGTGCTTACATTATTTCTTGTTTAAGACAAAGCATAAGAAGTTTCCAGGCACTCATGACGATTTTGCAAAGAGGACACTGAGAGTGACAAATGAAATGAGAATATCACAACATCTACAAACACTAGCACAAAAATTACAAAAGAACAGGATCACAATACACAAGTCCCATGAAACAGTGTATGAGCATTTGATTTTATCATTTGTTTACCTAAATTAGTAATTCAACCTAAGTGATAATTTATTTTGTACCTTATCCTCCTTTTTCTTGTCTTTTTCTTTCTCTTCTTTGTTCATTTCAACATCACTGTAATCAACCTCATAATGAACATACTGAAGAAAGAAGAGAGAAACAACAAAATAACATAACACCTCAAGAATACTTAAGGAAGAAGCTTTAAAGTCCTCAGCCAGAGTTAGACGTAGTCAGTAAACAGGTGCACGTCTATTAACATTGGGTTCTGTTGGGAATACTCAAGATGTATGCAAAACAAGCTTGTTTAAGCTTATTTAAACTTGTTTAACTTCAAGGTTTTCACTTTGTTGGAAATGTCTGTCTCAACATGATACTATTATCAGTGACACAAGTTTCTTAAAGCCTTTGCTTGCAAAATACAGTCTTTTGGTTACTTCCTGGTCCTCAATGATTGACACAAGTCAGTTTTCTCACCTTGCAAGTATCCATGTGAAAACAAGTGTTTAGAAATGAGCAGTCTCCAAGAGATTCTGAGTAAACAAAAACAATTACACTTCATTTCCATCTTATTCTCAAGCTGCCTTTCTACAGTACTATCTACAACCTTATAATGTCACAAACATTAGTGCTTGTACATCGTAACTGTAACGTAAGCTATTTACATTAAAGAGATAGAAACATTTTGCATGTTTCTATCAAGTTTTAGTATCAATCTACAAGTGTTCTATCACGAATGCCATTCTCTGATTGGCTACGCTACCCGCTATCTATTCTGTGATAGATAGTGAGTAGCACAACAGTGTGCCCTTGTTAACAAAATGATGGCCGCCTCTTCGCATTTTGGCATTTCCAGTGAAGAGGATTTAGATAAAGTTTTGAACTACTAGTAGATTTATACTAAAACCATTTAATCATTTGCTCTCATTTTCTATGCCTGATAGAAGTCTCGAGCTCACAATCTAATTGTTTAATAGAAATGGGTGTGCAAGTTTGGAAGAACAAGAAAATGTTATCACAAAAAGAGCCACACGCAAGTGTTTTTACAGCTTTTTTGAGTTCATCCAAACTGTCATAAGTGTTTCTATTAAACAATTAGATTATGAGCTCGAGATTTCTATTGCGTGATAGTTGACNACTATAACGTAAGCTATTTACATTAAAGAGATAGAAACATTTTGCATGTTTCTATCAAGTTTTAGTATCAATCTACAAGTGTTCTATCATGAACGCCGTTCTCTGATTGGCTACGCTACCCGCTATCTATTCTGTGATAGATAGTGAGTGGCATAACAGTGTGCCCTTGTTAACAAAATGATGGCTGCCTCTTCACATTTTGACATTTCCAGTGAAGAGGATTTAGATAAAGTTTTGAACTACTAGTAAATTTCTACTAAAACAATTTAATTATTTGCTCTCAATTTCTATGCGTGATAGAAATTTCAAGCTCATAATCTAATTGTTTAATAGAAATTGGTGTGGAAGTTTGGAAGAACAAGAAAATGTTATCACAAAAAGAGCCACACGCAAGTGTTTTCACAGCTTTTTTGAGTTTATCGAAACTGTCATAAGTGTTTCTATTAAACAATTAGATTATGAGCTCAAGATTTCTATTGCGTGATAGTTGACAAGGGCACAGCCCTCATCAACTACCATGCATAGAAATGAGAGCGAATAATCTAATTGTTTTAGTATAAATCTACTAGTCGTTCAAAACTTTATCTAAATCCTATTCACAGACACTTCAAAAACGCCAAGAAATCGTCCATCATTTTGTTGACAAGGGCACACTGTTACGCTATTCACTATCACAGAATTGATAGTGATTAGTGTAGCTAATCAGAGAACAGCATTCATGATAGAACCCTAACAGATTTATACTAAAAGTTTATAGAAACGCAGAGAAAATGTTTCTGTTTCTTTTAGAATACTTCAAAGAAAAGAGAGGAAAATCACTCATATGTTTTAATGATCGAAATGTAAAATTTCCCCTTATTGCTTGCACAATCATTATTGCATCAAAAAACGCATTCTAGTTCAAAAGAATTTTTTTTAGTAAACAATGAAATTAAAATAATCTGACCAAAAAGCTAGATATTCTTCACAAAACATAAACTTACCATCTGTATGCTTTTGGATAATTTTTCTGAAGTGGACCTTAGTGGCAAAGAAAAGAATATTGTTAGAACAGAACAATACATACTGCGACAAACAAAAACATTGTATTCATTACCTTCCTACAAGGTTGACTCTGTGGATTGTTCTTTCTACAATCTCCTCTTGTGCCATGATCACAGAACTCATGAACAAATGCTCCACCTTGAGACTTGAATTTTTCAACTGTAGATTGTTCCTGAAAAAAATTGAAGGGGTGAGTGCAAAACCATGCTAAGTGACGATCTGGGTGAAAAAAAAAATTTTCGCGAAAGGGCCTGAATTTTTGCATGGGGTCTTCAATGTAATAGAAAAATGTGGTCCTGTATTTTTCCTGCTGGTTTTTGCTTCGTTTATGAAGACGCCGCTAGGAAAACCGAGTGGTTTTTTTGCGTACGCAATATCTCGAAAACGAAGCAAAGCTTAGCGGAAAAACACGGGACATTGCTAAACACACCTAAACAAAACTGCATGCGAAATTTGGAGCATTTTCAACAAAGTTCACTTGATTAAAATACCTAACGCCCTTTTCCTGCCAAGGCCTTCAAATAAACGAAGCCGGGCCTTTGTTACGATAAACAGAGCCGATCCTTTGTTATAATAGCCAAGCTAAGCCTTTGTTATAAGTCGAAGTCTCGCCTCGNTTCACCTAGAAACCAGCAAAATGTCGATTTCACGCAGCGCATAAGCTCCATGATGTTGATTTCAGGTCTAAATAGGTTAAAATGTTGATTTCACGTTAATGCGTGATGGCAAGGATGTTGTTTCACCTAGAAACCAGCAAAATGTCAATTTCACGCAGCACATAAGCTCAATGATGTTGATTTCACGTTAACGCGTGACGGCAAGGATGTTGGTTTCACTTAGAAACCACCAAAATGTCAATTTCACACAGCGCATAAGCTCAATGATGTTGATTTCAGGTCTAAATAGGTTAAAAATGTTGATTTCACGTCAACGCTTGACAGCAAGGATGTTAGTTTCACTTAGAAAACAGCAAAATGGTAATTTCACACAACGTACAAGCTCAATGACGTTGATTTCACATGAAAACGCTCTATAAATAGGGCTGACAGATTAACAGATTAACCCTTCTGCGCAACATACGGGTCTCCATACATCTGCATGTCGCTGATCCCAGAAGCTCAAAACACTACAAATAATGCCGATTTGAAATAAAATCAACGCAACCTGGATCACAGATCTATGTTACAATTGATCGCTACTTGTTGGCCATTATTATGTTTAAACAATCTAGTTACCAGTTTGAGAAATGTCCGCAGAATGTGATCACAATGCATGCCAGGAAGGGTCTTTACACCTCATGCGTGGGAAAACATGGCGGTCGATACAAGACAAATTTTATAAGCCTAAAACCAGTTCTCACTTTCCAAACTTTGATGCTAGCAACGCTTGGTAATTGGGCCATGACTCACCAGAGGGTATTTTTCTCGGGCAAGAACTGCTCTTGGACTTTGCTGCCTGGCTCGATCTGACTTTGAACGCCGATAACATGATTACTGTATGTCAGCTGCCTTCAAAGTTTCAGAACAGATTTTGATTCTTTAAAACGTGCTGATGACTTACGGGTTTATCGAGACTTTATGATGCCTCTCAACCACCAGGCAGGCTTGCAAGGTACTTTNCGATTCACGTGTTGTGTTCACGTCACAATAACCGATGTAAACAATCTGTTCCCAGATTTCTGCTCTATATATGCTGTGAGATTTGATTTTGACCTCATATACTATAAACAGTCTGCCTGTTTGCTATTCAACAAATAAACTCCTAAAGACATGGCTAGGAAAAGCCAAATATTTTTGCATACGTTATAACTCAAAAACGAAGCAAAAACCAGCGACAAAAATACAGGGCCATGTTTTTCTATTACACTGAAGACCACATGCAAAAATTCAAGCCCTTTCGCGAAAATTTTTTTTTCACCCAAATCATCACTTAGCATGGTTTTGCACTCACCCCTTCAATTATAAAAGTCATAAACACAGCCATGAAAGGCAAAATATACCATGCATGGCCTTATTTCATACCAAGAGAGCTAAAAAGTACAGTCATAACTTCTGTGTAGACGCATATAACCATACTGGCTATGTTTCCAAACCAAATTTAAAAAATGCCTGTCTTTCCTCACCTTATGTGATGGTACATTGAGTAAATCCAAAATTTCTTCCCCAACTTTTTTGTTCTAAACAAGAAAGAAAAGTGGAAAACTTATTACCAAAGAAAAATATCAAGAGAACTTTAGGTACGGAGATCCTTTCCTAAAATATCATAGTTTTGTAACTTCTTCATCTGAACACACAAGCGAGCTATAATCCCTAGAAAATAAATTGAAACTGTACAAGAGTATGATTATCACAGTGGAAATATAATTTGAGGATCTTAAATACGGCTGAAGTGAGGCATAAGATCTTGAAACTCTTTGCAAGTAAAGAAATTGCTGGTACAGAAACATGCAGTAAAAATGACATAACAGGGACCTTTCATATGTTTGATATCTTGAATACAATTTACCAAATTCAATAATGTTAAACAAAAATTCATGAATATCCAATTTTTTGCCTCTTAGGCCAGGCTTTCAATAAGAAAATGAGTTTTTCACAAACATATTTTCATATTTTTCCAAGAAACTGGAAGAGACCTTGTTTTCAAAGAGACACAGAACATTTCCTTACTTCCATCTCCTTCATAGTTGGCATTGATAAAAGACTCTGCAAGTGAAAAAGAACACAAGTATTATTAGAGGAACTGGCAAGGTTACATGGAAAACAGTTACCGGGAACTACATTTGGTTCAGTGATAAATAAAAAAAGCTGCCACCTTAAAACCACAAATTTAATATCCACCCAGTAAAAATATAAGTGAATCTACAGTAATTGTGAAAGCTACACTACACTTCTGGGAGAGCATAAACTCATGAGTTGTGTGACTACAGTTCCCTTTTAATTATTAGATAAATATTCAGGGTATAATTTTGTACCTCAATGTCATCAACTGATTCAAGCCTGGGCTTCATTTCAGCAGGAGTTGATGACAATACCACATCACCGCTAGAATCACTAAACATGGATTAAACAAAGGCAAAATAATTAATATTATTTACCCTTAAAGTGAGAGAATGATGATACTCGGCCCTGGAGACTAAGTTAAAGTGATTGCTACCAGTATGTCACGTGTATGTTAATGATCCTCATTAATGGTGTTCTGGTAGATGGTTGCTTTCAAATGTAGTCAGAATTTACCTTGACTATGTTTATCGTTAGCATCAGTTACTGTAAAGCTAAAACTATTTTCGGGTATAGTACAATTCTAAATCTAATAAAATACCACAGGTGCATCAACCAAAACCAAGCAAATTACATGAAATTACTTACAAGTTACAGACTACTCAGAAAACCAAACCCAAAGCCAGCGTAATTGCCTGATTACTTTCAACACTCGATTGAAAATCACTCAAAGTAGGTTTCCCTGTTAAGCAGGTGTCTGTAAAGCAGGGTTGCACTGCAGATGTATTCTAGTGAAGTGTAAACTCTACTCATGTATGTCCCTTTTAATTCCTAGGAGTGATATCAACATACTAATTATTATTTAAAATGGAATCATCAGCAAGGGGATGCAGCCTTGATATCATAGCTCCCTGTGGGTTGGTCAGGTCAGCAAAGAGTGACCAACTTTATCAATTCTTTCAGCTTTCTTTTAGTATAATTATAATCCACTAGTTCACTTGATACACTCACATATACCGCCAAACCATACACTTCCAAGAGTAACAACCCTAGTTACTTACAGAATTAGCAGCCTTTGGGGCTCATTACTTTCAGGGGTCATTATTTTTGAGGGGTTGTTACTTTCGGGGAGCAAAAAACGTTATATAAAGTTGGTATGACTGGGCTCTTTTTATGAAATAAAAGACGGAAATTCGTGAAAACAGTTCTTAAAACATGAGACAATTCTGCATTCCAGTTTAAAATTTAAGTTGTTGGGTGGGCTCGTCATGTCTATACTGTGTTGTCGGTGGTCAGCAGGAAAGCTAGTCAGATACTGTAAACTGTTTCTACTTCATGACATAGTATCAAAATTTTGGTGTGTTAGTTGAGTTTTCAATTTAAATTTGAAGAAACGTTCCTTTTAATACTATTAAATAATAATTATAATTCTATTAATTTGAATCAAAGTTTACTATGGCACGTTCCTGTTACTTAATAAAAATTCCACTGGTTTTGTTTTAGTGCAACATCAACTGATGAAGCACGAATTGAAATTTCACAATGCTTTTTGGCATAAGCGATACCTTTGCTTGTTGTAGAGTGCCTTAAAATAAATCAAGTTACCATATGTAACTTTCACCTGACTAGTGATTGGAAAAATAAATATACCAGTACTTTTGAACCTGGGTCTCACTATTTTCAGAGAGGGAGTGGGGGTAGGCTCACTACTTTTAAAAGGCTCGCTTCTTTCAGGATTTATTAGTGGCCATAATTTTTTGACATTACTTTCAGAAGGTTGCTACCTTCGAAAGTTTACAGTATATACGTGTATTCATCTCTTTTTCATCATGCACACGGTCTCCCATACATGGGAGGGCCCATATATGGCAGCCATTTCATGCAACTGCGACTTGTTACAATATAAAAACAAATGTGCACCACAAGTAAAGAAATGAAACAAACAACTTCATCTAATGAGCTAAGACATAAAATAGCAAAGCTGACAAACTTGCTTTTAACTTCAATGATAGGAATTACAATTTCAAGCAGGCTCTTCACATGACTCACCTGTCTCTTTTTCTTTTCTTTGATGTTGACTTGTCTCCTGAAAAATTTGTTTATTATTACCAAAATACTCTTTCTTTTGTTAATAAAAAACACTCAAAGAATGGAGGGAAAAGATATTTCCTTGTTAAATATGATCTTGAGACCTGTTGTGTAGCCTACCAGTACAAAAAAATAAGATTCCTCATTTTGCCTTGACTACTTCTCTACAGACTGTCAGGAGAAAAAGTCCAAGCAGTCACAAAGCAAGTCAATACTTTTTAAAGACTTAAAACTAACCAGAGCTTGTAATCAGCAACATGTTCTTATAACAAGATCAGAATTGACTCTACATAATTGATTGTACAAAAAAATGCCCCTTTGGTTTGATTGACTGCAAGATGAACCAAACAAGAGATGACACAAACGAAATAAACACACCTTTTGATGATAGGTCTCTGCGAACAGCATCTAACTGATTCAAAAACAAGATTAGAGTAATGTTTGAGATGACATTAACAAATGTGCTTCAAGGGAGAGCTGGAGTTCTACCAGCCTTGTAACAATGTGAGAATGCGATGAAGTGAATATAAAATATCTGTAGTTAAACACTGTTAGAAGGTATTCTTTTTTTAACCCATTGACTCCTGTGCCGCCCATAACCAGCCATGACGAGCCTTGGCCTTTGTTTCACTTCTAATGTCATCACCTTTGACCAAAATTGGCATCATCTATGCTCAACTTCTGCAGGAGGAAAAGATCTTTCTAATGATACCCAGATCAGAGTGATCGGCTCAATGTAGCCTGAAATATGCACAAAAATGCTCAAAAAGTTGAGTGAAAAACTCAGAGCAAAATTTCCTGCGACTAAACGTGGCTACACCATGGTAAAAATTGCCTGTCTCCATGATGCCTTCTCAGAATTTTTTGAACTGGAGACAAGCCCAGTAGAAGGTCTATCACTGCAGGAAAAAGAAAAGAAATGGAGAGAAAGGCATGCTTCCATGTTGCAAATGCCTTTTTGAGTAGAGTGGAGCTAAGTTGGCCCATATCCAGCCTTCAAATCTCCAAAATGTCAAAACAATGCAAGTCGATGGGTTAAGGCAGTGCATGTGTGTTACAAGACAACACAGATAAACAGCAAAGATGACTTTATTTTACAGGTTCTCATCTCTTTATTTATGTGATTGCATTATTCAAATGAGAAAATATCATCTATTCTGCATTGATGGCCATTCATGAGTAATTCTGAATGTCTGAGATTTCAGTAGGAACTAATTATCAGAAATAATTTTAAGTTCCTCATCTTCACTGATGTCTCTGTACTAAGAGTTTCCAAAGCTACTGTGAACAACACAACCCAGAAACATGTCATCATCACTACAAAATGCTATACCTTTAAATGATCTTTTGTTGTGACTATTGTGCATTGCTTTCCATCTGGTGATGTTCCATGTTTAATACTGGAAAAAAAATTAATGTCTTCACTGCTTAGGATTAATTTTTTTAGACTAAATAATTTAATTGTTTAAAATAGCCAACCTACATGTACACAATGTAAAATCAAGAGTGTCACAAAACAGGAAATTTATTATAAAGATAAATTGATCATACACTTAGAAATGTAACAAATTTCTGTTTGTTATAATTTCTACTTATCTACTTGGGTGAAATAGTTACAATTATACATTATGCCACTGAGAGCAAGGAAATTACTTAGGCTCTGAACTGAGAACAGAAGCATTGCAGACCATTTCAAAGACTTGTTGTTACTTTTGGTTTTAGGTAAAAAGAAAACAGTGCCTTATAAAACTACACGAACACATGAGTATGACTTCCTGCATACATGTACTCTCTTGGTGGAGACACCTCTGACCGAGTCTGTGAGTACCAAACATCAGTGTCACACCAGCCAATACTTAATAAATAGAAAACATGTACCATGTTTTCTATCGAGTTATAGAAACACAAGTGAAAGTTTGGGAGAACGAGAAAAATTGTGGGAACACAAGCCACAGGCGAGTGTTTCCACAGCTTTTTCAACTTCTCCCAAACTTTCACGAGTGTTTCTATAACTCAATAGAAACACGGACAACATATTTTCTATTTCTTTTAGAAAACACCACAACAAAAAAAAGGAAAACAACTTACAAGTTAACTTTGATTATCAAAATGTAAATTCTCTTTGCTCGCGCCATCATAACGTCAACAGCTTGTGCTAGTTCTGTGTTTCTATCAAGTTATGGAAACACGATTTTTAACCAATCAGCGCGCATATTTTCTTAGGGCTGTTTTCTAAATTAAATACAGCATACTTTATACATGAAGCTTTGGACCAATTAGATTAAGGTGGCTCAAAACAGTTTCCAGCACTTAATTTTTAATGGGTCATAATAACCACTCTTTATCGCTTGATGCTACAATCATGGTATCAAAAAACTGCCCAATCATTGGTGAACATGTTGTTATCATTTTCGTGACACAGTAGGTTATCATAGCAACAGTATGACCTCCTAAAACACCCCTACTTAAAGCTTTATGGGCTTATAATTCAAAAACAGCACAGTGAAATTTTTTTTACATTATCGACTTTTGGTAAGCATGATAAGATGCAACTTTTGACAAAGTTTAAGAAAATTCTGTACATAGGGTTCAGAGCCACCTTAAATATTTGAAAATTTAAATGATTGGGCAAATTTTTGATACCATGATTACAGCATCAAGTGATAAAGAGTGGTTATAAAAACCCATCAAAATCTAAGTGCTGGTAGCCGTTTTAAGTCACCTTCAAGAACTGTCACCAGTGACTTCACTAGTACTAGTCTAGTCTGTGATATCTAACCTTATGAAGTCCTGAATNATTAAGAGAAACAAACAGCTGTATCCTTGTTATACATGAACAAATACATTCAATTTGCAATCTCATTCCCCCAGTCTACACCAGCTTGATAAAACAAGCAACTTGAGAGCCCGGTGGTGGGAGGGGGCGAAGACTCCCATATTAAAAAGCTGGGGATGTCCATTAAACCTTTCAGGGGTTAAAAAGGCGGTTTTCATACTTCTTAGGGTGTTTAGCCTTAAAAGGTCCACTGTGGGAGCTATTGCGGTACCTCTTAGGGTATTGCGCCGAAAAAAGTCAGTGTCAGTCGATGTATAGTTTTAAAATTGGTGCCCGTTAGAGGAGAAAAGACATGTCAAGCTGTGGCCACAAAACATTATCTTGGTACCTGTTGGGGGTTGTTTTTGAAATTTCTGACGAGCACCCCCATCCTTTTTATATGGGAGGCTTGAGAGATCAGTTATAGGGTCAAGTTTTGATTGGTTCAAAAACAGCGAAAATGACCAGAGCTAACACACCAGGGACTTGGTTGAGTCACATGTTTATCAGCCAGGCATGCACAATAGGCCACGTTTGATATGTCAATATTCTAACATGGCTCTGAGGCTTTCAAGACAACTTCTATATTAGGTGGTATTTTCTTTGTATCCAAGTCTCTTTTGGGAATTCAAGGACAAAAGAAACTTGACAAATTTGCAATTTTGTCCTGAAAGCTTCAGAGCTATGCTAGAATATTGATAATTATATCGAACGTGGCCTTTTCAACCAGAAGTGTGACATTTTCAGGGCCAAAAGAGATTGCAGGTTTCAATCCTACCCAAGGTCAAAGAATTTACTTTCGCCTTGTGTGGTCCCCACATTTCCTTTCTAGGGCTACACGCAGAAAGAAACACTTGGCTTGATTTCCAGCACTCCAAATTACTTCAGAGTTACTTTCCAGTTTTTTATGCTTTGATCGGTTTTTTAACTTACATCTGTACAGGAATTAATAACTTTAGTGATGAGCTACTTTGTCACTTCACAAAGTCTTCTTTAAAGGTTGTTTCAACTCATGCAAAACTCCCAGAGAACACGTTATGTGAAATCAATTTTACAATCAGCGTTTTTCGCATGTTACATAGAACAAAATTCTTAATTTCACCCTAAGAAAGCTTGACATGCATGTGTTTTAGAGCTACCGGCAAAATAGAACTAATTAGGAGACAAACCTGACAATTCGCTATCTTGTCCGCCTATTCCTTGGCGTTCCCTTCTTCGCCGCTGGAGACGATCACGTAGGCTTTCTTGCCGGCGTTTGTGCTCTTGAATTTCGGTCCAAGTATCAGACATTTTTCCAACTTTCTGAGCTGAGAGCGCACAGAAATATCGAGCTTAGTAGCCTGGCTCCATGTCTTTTTGCTTAGTGGCCAGGCCTTCCTCTCCTAAACACCGAAGTAACAGAAAGTCATGGAGAATTACATTTCGATCCTTGAAAATTTAGACTCTCACAAGGAAGAAAATGCTGTGAAGGCACTTCAGCAGTTTTGTTCTGAGAACGAAAAGACGTTCACTTTCTTCCACATAGATACTAACCTTAGGAAGAAATTCATTGATGTGATTCTCAACGAGTTGACAACCAAAGACCTCGGACTTCAGTTCAAAATACATGCCCTGACTGCTTTGCGGATTTTAAGCCGGGATAAAGATGGTCTGGGATCACTTACATCTGAAAAGTCAACCTTTGTTCTGTTGTCACTTGCAGAACTTATACCTGAAGAATCTAAACCGACTGAAAGTTGCTCGAACGAAGGCGACGCAAGGACGAAAAATGAAAAAAGTAGAGATGGCGGTTTGGAGAGAGTTGTTGCCGTTAGCGATGTAGTAGTTGAAGCTCTTAAATGTTTATGTAATGTAGTGTATCACAGCTCAGCGGTCCGTCAGCACTGTTTTAAGAACAAATGCATCGAAGCAATCATCACAAGGGTGAAGAAATGGTTCGACAACACTCGGTTAGATACGGATGTCAAGTATTTTGACCTTAGATTTCTGTTCCTACTAACGGCTCTTGAAAACACTGCGAGAGTAGAGGTTGTTGCTAACAATGGTTTTTGTGTCCTGACTCATGCCTTAGACAGCAGTATTCCAGGAAAGGACCAGAGAAAAATATGCCATGAAACCAAAGTCAGGGATGGTTGTGGGCAGTTGACTGGAGCAAAACTTCAAGCATTGACTGTCGTAGAGAGGTTAGATCCATACGAATTAGGCTTTTTTAGCGCTTACTTCTTTGTAGGACCTAGTTGCAAACTTCATTTGGAAATTTGAGCTCTGAATTCTCCTCACCAATCCCCATACCCTTCTTATAATGTTAGTTTGGAGATTTTAGTGTTACATCAAGACATATCTCCTAGATGGTGATTTCCTGTATTCTGATTGGCTGTATTTTTCATGGCATGGTATTATAAATATCAATCACTCTTGTGAGCTATTTCAGCTAAATTAGCTTCTCGACATTCAATTAATGTGATTTATTGAGGGCAATTATTAAAGAAAGCCAGATTCAACTGAACCCAGTTTTCATTTAGTGGTCATTATGAAATAAACTTGCATGTTTTTTGGTAAATTTGAGTACTAAATGTAGAATTGATGAAACAGAGTGGAAAGGAAACCAATTTTAGGCCAGCTCAAACTATAATTTACTAGCTCAAACTTCATTCTCACTGGACCCGAAAATTTCATCTTGTTTACAGTATTTCTTTAATTTGAGTTTCCTCAAAAATTTTCTTAAGGTAATTCCTCTGAAATAGAAGTGACAATAGATTTTTGTGCAAACTTTGTCCGCTGAATATTTGTCATATGACAACTTCAATTTTGAAATAAAAAAGGGGGGTGCCCATGCTCATTAAGGAGCAGTAAGGCATTGAAAATG